TTTTTTTTAATTTGATATTGCCTTTATTTCATCACCATTTCCAAACTAATTGCTCTATAGACTTCAAAATTTGACAAAATATTCACGAAATGTATAGAAATATAATTTTGAAAAGTACATTTTAAAATTTCAAAAGGTTTTAAAGTTACAAGCTACCAAAATTGAACTTGAATTTTTTAATTTGATATTGCCTTAATTTCATCACCATTTCCAAACTAATTGCTCTATAGACTTCAAAATTTAACAAAATATTCACGAAATGTATAGAAATATAATTTTGAAAACTACATTTTAAAATTTCAAAAGGTTTTAAAGTTACAAGGTATCAAAGTTGAACTTGATTTTTTTTAATTTGATATTGCCTTTATTTCATCACCATTTCCAAACTAATTGCTCTATAGACTTCAAAATTTGACAAAATATTCACGAAATGTATAGAAATATAATTTTGAAAAGTACATTTTAAAATTTCAAAAGGTTTTAAAGTTACAAGCTACCAAAATTGAACTTGAATTTTTTAATTTGATATTGCCTTAATTTCATCACCATTTCCAAACTAATTGCTCTATAGACTTCAAAATTTAACAAAATATTCACGAAATGTATAGAAATATAATTTTGAAAACTACATTTTAAAATTTCAAAAGGTTTTAAAGTTACAAGGTATCAAAGTTGAACTTGATTTTTTTTAATTTGATATTGCCTTTATTTCATCACCATTTCCAAACTAATTGCTCTATAGACTTCAAAATTTGACAAAATATTCACGAAATGTATAGAAATATAATTTTGAAAAGTACATTTTAAAATTTCAAAAGGTTTTAAAGTTACAAGCTACCAAAATTGAACTTGAATTTTTTAATTTGATATTGCCTTAATTTCATCACCATTTCCAAACTAATTGCTCTATAGACTTCAAAATTTAACAAAATATTCACGAAATGTATAGAAATATAATTTTGAAAACTACATTTTAAAATTTCAAAAGGTTTTAAAGTTACAAGGTATCAAAGTTGAACTTGATTTTTTTTAATTTGATATTGCCTTTATTTCATCACCATTTCCAAACTAATTGCTCTATAGACTTCAAAATTTGACAAAATATTCACGAAATGTATAGAAATATAATTTTGAAAAGTACATTTTAAAATTTCAAAAGGTTTTAAAGTTTCAAGCTACCAAAATTGAACTTGAATTTTTTAATTTGATATTGCCTTAATTTCATCACCATTTCCAAACTAATTGCTCTATAGACTTCAAAATTTAACAAAATATTCACGAAATGTATAGAAATATAATTTTGAAAACTACATTTTAAAATTTCAAAAGGTTTTAAAGTTACAAGGTATCAAAGTTGAACTTGATTTTTTTTAATTTGATATTGCCTTTATTTCATCACCATTTCCAAACTAATTGCTCTATAGACTTCAAAATTTGACAAAATATTCACGAAATGTATAGAAATATAATTTTGAAAAGTACATTTTAAAATTTCAAAAGGTTTTAAAGTTACAAGCTACCAAAATTGAACTTGAATTTTTTAATTTGATATTGCCTTAATTTCATCACCATTTCCAAACTAATTGCTCTATAGACTTCAAAATTTAACAAAATATTCACGAAATGTATAGAAATATAATTTTGAAAACTACATTTTAAAATTTCAAAAGGTTTTAAAGTTACAAGGTATCAAAGTTGAACTTGATTTTTTTTAATTTGATATTGCCTTTATTTCATCACCATTTCCAAACTAATTGCTCTATAGACTTCAAAATTTAACAAAATATTCACGAAATGTATAGAAATATAATTTTGAAAAGTACATTTTAAAATTTCAAAAGGTTTTAAAGTTACAAGGTATCAAAGTTGAACTTGATTTTTTTTAATTTGATATTGCCTTTATTTCATCACCATTTCCAAACTAATTGCTCTATAGACTTCAAAATTTGACAAAATATTCACGAAATGTATAGAAATATAATTTTGAAAAAGTACATTTTAAAATTTCAAAAGGTTTTAAAGTTACAAGCTACCAAAATTGAACTTGAATTTTTTAATTTGATATTGCCTTAATTTCATCACCATTTCCAAACTAATTGCTCTATAGACTTCAAAATTTAACAAAATATTCACGAAATGTATAGAAATATAATTTTGAAAACTACATTTTAAAATTTCAAAAGGTTTTAAAGTTACAAGGTATCAAAGTTGAACTTGATTTTTTTTAATTTGATATTGCCTTTATTTCATCACCATTTCCAAACTAATTGCTCTATAGACTTCAAAATTTGACAAAATATTCACGAAATGTATAGAAATATAATTTTGAAAAGTACATTTTAAAATTTCAAAAGGTTTTAAAGTTACAAGCTACCAAAATTGAACTTGAATTTTTTAATTTGATATTGCCTTAATTTCATCACCATTTCCAAACTAATTGCTCTATAGACTTCAAAATTTAACAAAATATTCACGAAATGTATAGAAATATAATTTTGAAAACTACATTTTAAAATTTCAAAAGGTTTTAAAGTTACAAGGTATCAAAGTTGAACTTGATTTTTTTTAATTTGATATTGCCTTTATTTCATCACCATTTCCAAACTAATTGCTCTATAGACTTCAAAATTTGACAAAATATTCACGAAATGTATAGAAATATAATTTTGAAAAGTACATTTTAAAATTTCAAAAGGTTTTAAAGTTACAAGCTACCAAAATTGAACTTGAATTTTTTAATTTGATATTGCCTTAATTTCATCACCATTTCCAAACTAATTGCTCTATAGACTTCAAAATTTAACAAAATATTCACGAAATGTATAGAAATATAATTTTGAAAACTACATTTTAAAATTTCAAAAGGTTTTAAAGTTACAAGGTATCAAAGTTGAACTTGATTTTTTTTAATTTGATATTGCCTTTATTTCATCACCATTTCCAAACTAATTGCTCTATAGACTTCAAAATTTGACAAAATATTCACGAAATGTATAGAAATATAATTTTGAAAAGTACATTTTAAAATTTCAAAAGGTTTTAAAGTTACAAGCTACCAAAATTGAACTTGAATTTTTTAATTTGATATTGCCTTAATTTCATCACCATTTCCAAACTAATTGCTCTATAGACTTCAAAATTTAACAAAATATTCACGAAATGTATAGAAATATAATTTTGAAAACTACATTTTAAAATTTCAAAAGGTTTTAAAGTTACAAGGTATCAAAGTTGAACTTGATTTTTTTTAATTTGATATTGCCTTTATTTCATCACCATTTCCAAACTAATTGCTCTATAGACTTCAAAATTTGACAAAATATTCACGAAATGTATAGAAATATAATTTTGAAAAGTACATTTTAAAATTTCAAAAGGTTTTAAAGTTACAAGCTACCAAAATTGAACTTGAATTTTTTAATTTGATATTGCCTTAATTTCATCACCATTTCCAAACTAATTGCTCTATAGACTTCAAAATTTAACAAAATATTCACGAAATGTATAGAAATATAATTTTGAAAACTACATTTTAAAATTTCAAAAGGTTTTAAAGTTACAAGGTATCAAAGTTGAACTTGATTTTTTTTAATTTGATATTGCCTTTATTTCATCACCATTTCCAAACTAATTGCTCTATAGACTTCAAAATTTGACAAAATATTCACGAAATGTATAGAAATATAATTTTGAAAAGTACATTTTAAAATTTCAAAAGGTTTTAAAGTTACAAGCTACCAAAATTGAACTTGAATTTTTTAATTTGATATTGCCTTAATTTCATCACCATTTCCAAACTAATTGCTCTATAGACTTCAAAATTTAACAAAATATTCACGAAATGTATAGAAATATAATTTTGAAAACTACATTTTAAAATTTCAAAAGGTTTTAAAGTTACAAGGTATCAAAGTTGAACTTGATTTTTTTTAATTTGATATTGCCTTTATTTCATCACCATTTCCAAACTAATTGCTCTATAGACTTCAAAATTTAACAAAATATTCACGAAATGTATAGAAATATAATTTTGAAAAGTACATTTTAAAATTTCAAAAGGTTTTAAAGTTACAAGGTATCAAAGTTGAACTTGATTTTTTTTTTAATTTGATATTGCCCTAATTTCATCACCATTTCCAAACTAATTGCTCTGTAGACTTCAAAATTTGACAAAATATTTACGAAATGTATATAAATATAATTTTCAAAACTATATTTTAAAATTTCAAAAGGTTTTAAAGTTACAAGCTACTAAAGTTGAACTTGATTTTTTAATTTGATATTGCCTTAATTTCATCACCATTTCCAAACTAATTGCTCTATAGACTTCAAAATTTGACAAAATATTCACGAAATGTATAGAAATATAATTCTGAAAACTACATTTTAAAATTTCAACAGGTTTTAAAGTTACAAGGTGTCGAAAGTTGATCTTGGATTTTTTAACAATTTAATATTGCCGTTATTTCATTACCAATTTATCTATAGACTTAAAAATATATAGAAATATAATTTTGAAAACTAAATTTTTAAATGTCGGCTACTCATTTTCGAGTACTCGCTTTAATACGCCTTCTTCCTGGATAAAGGTGTCCCACTGAACTAAATATGACTTAATCTAGAATGACATTTGATACTTCTTGCGAAGTAGGTCGACAATTTTCTTTAAAACGCAATCTTTCTCTTGTTCATCCCTAATTTTGGCAGATGCCCAATTATTTGTTGACTACAGTTGTTCTTAGTTCGTCCCTTTTAATGAAGCAGTTCTAACGTAATACGCTTTAACCAATGAGGAGTGCCTGAAGCGCATTACGTATTTATCTGTTAGAGATCTTCCTTACCGGCAGATTAAGTACAAGGTACAGGGACTGTTGAAGGGGTTAATATTGTTTAAAAATCAGTAATGTTGAATGTATTTATAACAAAAATAAAGTTGGGATGGAATTTAAGTAATAATGGCATGTAAAATCGAATATATGAAATGCCATTTTTTGTTCTAGGTGTCGACTATATGCATCCTGATTTGAAATTTAACTATGTAAGTATATTTTATGTTTTGTTAAGAGTTATCAAACATTTTGTACAGTGGTAATTGAAAAAAGTATGTCTTATCTTTCTAATGAAACTTTATCGACATAAAATCGTCAAAAACAGGGAACTAGTACCAAAAAGTCATTTTAGTAGAAATGAAAATCAAAACTTCACCCAAAACCGATTAGATAAATTGTGTATTTCAAAACTTTATTTTCTGGAAAGCTTTTACATTACGGATTATTATATAAAGAGAAGTTTCGCTCTGAAATTACTTTATACAATTTAACTTTGTTGCTTATTTAAAAGGGATCTCTTGGGAAACCTTAATCTAAAACTCACCACTACACTCTACACATCAAAGAAAATTTAATTAAAAATATAATATATTGCATCATCTCTAGATATCAAAAACTAAATATAGGTAACATATTATATTGTTTTATACAGGGTAGCTATATTAATCTAACGTTTTTAGCAATCATTTTTAATTATTTAAATAAGATGTTTTATTTGAGTAATTGGAATTTTTTTTATTAATTTATAAAAGCAGAAATTTACTACTTAAATGTGGCAACGTTGGATCAAAATAGAAGTGACCATGACCAAGCGAAACGGGATTGTTTTATTACAATTCAAACAGATTAATTACATTTTTTGGTTATGTCATTACTACAAACCAAACTCTACGTCAAATCCGAAGCTATCAGACTCCCTCAACCTCGCAAAAGAGAAATGGGAGAACAAAAGAAAGAGGTGAAAGGAGCAACACAGCTTCATCCTCTTCTTACAACCGACCAGCAAGTAAAAAATACAGAAGAAAATTACAAGGAAATGGGTGAAAGGAGCAGCACCTCTTTATCCTCTTCTTACAACCTACCAGCAAGTAAAAAGTGCAAAATAAAATTACCTTTGGTAGGACAACCTGGTGGAAGGTATGACCCACTGAGGCAAGGACTCAGTCGGACAGGGACCAGGTGGTATATTCGTTATCTTGATCAGAAAGCACAGATCCCAGGAAAATGAAACCAAACTCATTTCCAAGGATCCCTAAAGAAAGCAGGAAGGGAGGAAAGATACTACAAGAGAAGGAAGATGCTCATCACCTTGGGCTTTCAGTAGTTATGCAACTGTCGTCAACACGGAGCGGATCACGATTTTACCTCAGGGGTTCCCTGAGACTGTGTTTAGTGCGGATGACCAAACCTTATTAGAGGAATCCATAGTGGAACTCTACACCTGAGGCAGTTGTTCAAGGTCCTGTAAAAATGGAGAGTTGATACAGTTATGGCGTTAAAGAAATTGAGGAGGAAAGAGATCGCCTCTTACTCGAAACTCACTTTCCTAGTAGCACACCTTTTATAATAAGGGACACAACGCCTCTTACTCGAAACTCACTTTCCTGGTAGCACACCTTCTCTAATAAGGGACACAACTAAGATAAGCAAACCCCCAAGGGAGGCCGCTGTAGTGGCCAAGCACAGCACAGCGATCGGTTACATTGGGTGGTAAACACTTTTGAACCGTTCAAGTCTCCAGGTGTGGATGTGGATGGAACATTCCTGATATCCCGGAATAGTCTGGAACTGAAATATATTCCAGAATCATGAATCCGGGTATTCCAAAGCAGTCTGGAACTGAGATATATACCAGAAACATGGTGAAAGGGCCGAAGTCACCTTTTTTCCAAAACCTTCCGATTAATCAGCCTCATATCCTTTGTATTAAAAACAATGGAGAAGACGGTTGATAATTATATCAGAACAGAAGTCCTGGAGAGCGTGCCACTCCATCACAGTCAGCATGCGTATAGAACAAGAAAATCTACAGAAACTGTCCTGGTAGAGGTATCAAATGGTATTCTACAAATTTAAATAAATGCAAGGATTAAATAATAAATAATTTTACTGTGCTGGTACCGACAACCTTAAGTTTTAAATATTATCGTTCGATATTCAACATAGTTACTGCTATGTATCTGAAGAGCTCTATCTAAGATTGGAACGTCGCCACCATCAATAGCCTCTGTAGCTCCTAGAGCTCCAAACACTCCAATTATATTTAAATTGAAACAGCTCCTTTATGCAAGAATTGAATAGAGGTAGCAGTGATTTTAGATAGTTAGGAAAGACAACTAATAGACTGCTTACATTCGCTTCCTAAACAAAAAATAAATTATGTTTTTCACGCGTACGACATATAAATTAACTTATAAACAATTACTTTTAAAAATTAAATCAATATAACAACAAAAAACTAATTAATATAAACAGTGTGTAATTCTAGCTCACAAAATGAACTAATAAACCTAACATAACAATCAGTAGAAATGTAATTTCTACTGGGATATTTTTTAATGACATTTTATATCAGATAGGAAATGAATTTTAATGAAAAGGTTTGAATCATCGAGAGCCAACCAGGTCCCCACCTAGTTTTAGAATGTAACATTGGTTACAACAAAATATTTACTAAAATTCTTTTCAGAACTCCAAAGCAAGTTACGATTTCAGCAGCAACGATCCATATCCATATCCACGGTATACGGACGATTGGTTTAATAGGTAAGAAAATAGTTTTGTCACAAATTTTATCGAATCATAGAAGTGATTAAATTTGAGATTACTTTTTCTACTATTGTTTTGTCTACATAAAATTCGTGTATGTGAAAATTTGAACGCTTTTTTTCCAGATTTTCCTAGAAATAACATATACAGGTAATAATCAGGAGTTTATGTCTTACAAGAACCTTTTTCTGTAAGAATTTTTAACCTTTTTCGTGTATGTAGGAAAATGTGATGAATTTTTCATGAATATCTTGAGAGAAATAAATTCTGCTAAGTTTAAAAATAAGTTAACAGGTTACAAAAACTATTAGAAGGTATATTTCGTGGAAATTGTATTCCTCTAAAACAGCTTCAAATTTTAAAATGTCCTATTTGTCAAATCAACGAAACTATTAGTTTATTTGAAAGGTCAATGTTTAAAATTACTGGGGATTTGTAAAACTTATGAAGGAACAGTCCACAATTAGGTGAAACTGGAAATAATAATGGCTGCTTTCACCTAAATGTAAAATATCCCTGGAATGTTTGTTCGAGCGGTGAAATCTTTTCATATTAATTATTTGAACACCTATATGGAATCGTATAACGTATTTCGCAAATAAATCGTCAATTATTGATAGCCCGCATGATTGTCAGTTATTCGCAAATTTAATTATCTCCCTATGAACTACCTACGATATTACAATGATCTACGTATCAAGCTTATCTTTCAATCGCTTTTCTATTGATTTTTCCAGCCATGGAACACGGTGTGCTGGCGAAGTAGCAGCTGCTCGCGATAACGGAATTTGCGGAGTCGGAGTCGCGTACGATTCGAAAATAGCAGGTCAGTAATAGAATAAAATCTGCGGTAACTCCGATAATTTTTAATCCTCTGTATAAGTGTAAAAACGAACAAAATACATTTTCTTTGTTTTTCTTTGTTTTTCTTTGTTTTTCTTTGTTTTTCTTTGTTTTTCTTTGTTTTTCTTTGTTTTTCTTTGTTTTTCTTTGTTTTTCTTTGTTTTTCTTTGTTTTTCTTTGTTTTTCTTTGTTTTTCTTTGTTTTCTTTGTTTTTCTTTGTTTTTCTTTGTTTTTCTTTGTTTTTCTTTGTTTTTCTTTGTTTTTCTTTGTTTTTCTTTGTTTTTCTTTGTTGTTCTTTGTTTTTCTTTGTTTTTCTTTGTTTTTCTTTGTTTTTGTTTGTTGTTCTTTGTTTTTCTTTGTTTTTCTTTGTTTTTCTTTGTTTTTCTTTGTTTTTCTTTGTTTTTCTTTGTTTTTCTTTGTTGTTCTTTGTTGTTCTTTGTTTTTCTTTGTTTTTGTTTGTTGTTCTTTGTTTTTCTTTGTTTTTCTTTGTTTTTCTTTGTTTTTCTTTGTTTTTCTTTGTTGTTCTTTGTTGTTCTTTGTTTTTCTTTGTTTTCCTTCGTTTTTCATTATTTTTCTTTGTTTTTCTTTGTTTTTCTTTGTTTTTCTTTGTTTTTCTTTGTTTTTCTTTGTTTTTCTTTGTTGTTCTTTGTTTTTCTTTGTTTTTCTTTGTTTTCCTTCGTTTTTCATTATTTTTCTTTGTTTTTCTTTGTTTTTCTTTGCTTTTCTTTGCTTTTATGTGCTTTTCTTCGTTTTTCTTTGTTTTTTTGGTGTTTTCCTGTTTTTTTTTGTGTATATAGTTAAGGACGTAGAAATGGTAGCAATTTAGAAAGTATATTGTGGAAGTCGTCGAAAAGACAGTAAAGTGTACAGACGCAAAATAGCAGTAAAATATAAAATATTGACGTTAAATATAGACTTATTTTAATATACTTTGCAGTTTCATGGACGGGATGTTCTATTTGCCAAGTCTGTAATAAAAGAAGTCTATATACCTTACTGGAGGCAGAATAGTAGAAAAGCGTAAAGACGCAGAAAAGATAGCATGATGTATATATGTATATATAGTATTTTATGAGAACATTATTGCTACTCACAACAAGATCATTTAAAGTTATTTTTTTGTTTTTTACTGTATTTATTTAAGTACTCTAGCCATTTTTTGTTTTTGTTTCTTTGTTTTTTATTTTTGTTATTCATTTGTTTTTGATTTTTTGTATTTTTGTTTTTATTTTTTTTCTTTTTGATTTTCTTGTTTTTTTTTGTTTTTTACAGTATTTCTTTTACAGTACTTAAGTACTGTTGTTTTTTTGTTTTATTGTGTTTTTTGTTATTTGTTTTTTTTTTAGTTTTTTGGTTTTTTAATTTTTGTTTTTAATTTTTAGTTTCTTTGTATTTTTTGTTTTGTTTTTTAACTACTTTTTACAGTATGTATTTAAGTATTCAGCAATTATTTTTTTTTTTTGTTTTTTACAGTATGAAATTAAGTACTTAACAATGTTTTTTGGGTTTTCTTTGTTTTTCTATTGTTTTCTTTGTTTTTTTTGTTTTTATTTGTTTTTATTTGTTTTTTTGTTTTTGTTTTTCTTTGTTTTTTCTTTGTTTTTCTTTGATTGTCTTTACTATTCTTTGTTTTTTTTGTTTTTATTTGATTTGTTTTTAGTTTTTTTGGATTTTTCATTTTTTGTTTTTTAGTTTTTTTGTATTTTTTGTTTTGTTTTTTTAACTGCTTTTTACAGTATATATTTAAGTATTCAGCAATTCTTTTTTTTTTTTTTTTTTTTCGTTTTTTATAGTATGAAATTAAGTACTCAACAATGTTTTTTGGTTTTCTTTTTTTTTCTATTGTTTTCTTTGTTTTTTTTTTTGTTTTTCTTTGTTTTTTTTTTGTTTTTTTTTTTGTTTTTCTTTGTTTTTTGTTTTTGTTTTTCTTTGTTTTTTCTTTGTTTTTCTTTGATTGTCTTTACTATTCTTTGTTTTTCTTTGTTTTTTTTGTTTTTATTTGTTTTTTTGTTTTTATTTGTTTTTAGTTTTTTTGGTTTTTTCATTTTTTGTTTTTTAGTTTTTTTGTATTTTTTGTTTTTATTTGTTTTTTTAACTGCTTTTTACAGTATATATTTAAGTATTCAGCAATTCTTTTTTTTTTTTGTTTTTAATAGTATGAAATTAAGTACTCAACAATGTTTTTTTGGTTTTCCTTTGTTATTCTATTGTTTTCTGTTTTTCTTTGATTTTCTTTATTTTTCTTTGCTATTCTTTGTTTTTCTTTATTTTTCTTTGCTTTTCTTTGCTTTTCTTTGCTTTTCTTTGCTTTTCTTTGCTTTTCTTTGCTTTTCTTTGCTTTTCTTTGCTTTTCTTTGCTTTTCTTTGCTTTTCTTTGCTTTTCTTTGCTTTTCTTTGCTTTTCTTTGCTTTTCTTTGCTTTTCTTTGCTTTTCTTTGCTTTTCTTTGCTTTTCTTTGCTTTTCTTTGCTTTTCTTTGCTTTTCTTTGCTTTTCTTTGCTTTTCTTTGCTTTTCTTTGCTTTTCTTTGCTTTTCTTTGCTTTTCTTTGCTTTTCTTTGCTTTTCTTTGCTTTTCTTTGCTTTTCTTTGCTTTTCTTTGCTTTTCTTTGCTTTTCTTTGCTTTTCTTTGCTTTTCTTTGCTTTTCTTTGCTTTTCTTTGCTTTTCTTTGCTTTTCTTTGCTTTTCTTTGCTTTTCTTTGCTTTTCTTTGCTTTTCTTTGCTTTTCTTTGCTTTTCTTTGCTTTTCTTTGCTTTTCTTTGCTTTTCTTTGCTTTTCTTTGCTTTTCTTTGCTTTTCTTTGCTTTTCTTTGCTTTTCTTTGCTTTTCTTTGCTTTTCTTTGCTTTTCTTTGCTTTTCTTTGCTTTTCTTTGCTTTTCTTTGCTTTTCTTTGCTTTTCTTTGCTTTTCTTTGCTTTTCTTTGCTTTTCTTTGCTTTTCTTTGCTTTTCTTTGCTTTTCTTTGCTTTTCTTTGCTTTTCTTTGCTTTTCTTTGCTTTTCTTTGCTTTTCTTTGCTTTTCTTTGCTTTTCTTTGCTTTTCTTTGCTTTTCTTTGCTTTTCTTTGCTTTTCTTTGCTTTTCTTTGCTTTTCTTTGCTTTTCTTTGCTTTTCTTTGCTTTTCTTTGCTTTTCTTTGCTTTTCTTTGCGTTTCTTTGCGTTTCTTCGATTTTTTTCGCTTTTCTTTACGTGTCTTCGCTTTTCTTTGTTTTTTCTGTTTTCCTGTTATTTTTTTTTTGTTTTTTACTATATATATTTAAGTACTAAGCAAGTTATTTAGTTTTTTACATTAACAATGTCATTTTAAACTTCCTTTAACACAACGGTAAAATCGGCCCTTTCTCTCCCTTTCAAATCAATTTGTCCTATGTTAACGGTGTCGATTTCTCTTGAAACGGGACAGTTATAAATCAAAATTACGTCTATAAACTACAACAGTTAATTATCTCAACAATTGTCCTTTCAAGACGTTTGGGAAATCCTCAGAAATTCCAAGGACAGTAACTGACGAACGGCAAATAATGCGGATTTATTGAGCTATTAATCTATTTCACAGCCAATTGATTCGCTAAAAGGATTTAGCGGACTTAACAATAAATTGTTCTTGAAATCTCGTTAATGAATAATATATAATAAGCGTTTAATGCCTAATTATACAGGGGACGATTAGTTAGACAATTATAACCTTTCTTTTCAGGTATTAGAATGTTGGATCAACCTTATATGACCGATCTGATCGAAGCTAATTCAATGGGACACGAACCGAATCTCATCGATATATATAGCGCTTCGTGGGGCCCCACGGACGACGGTAAAACCGTCGATGGACCTAGGAATTCCACGATGAGAGCTATAGTCAAAGGTGTTAATGAAGTAAGTTAAAATCGGACGCAAAAAGTCTATAATTATGTATATATGTATATATAGATAGATAAAAAACTGTTACGAATTAAGTTACACTTTAGGTTAGGTTTCTAGCGACCGCTTCTCTCCGGAAAACAACTACTTCTCTGACTGTATATCTCAACAACGGAAAATAAAATTATTTCGTTTCAGGGTCGAAACGGTTTGGGAAATATTTATGTTTGGGCGAGCGGCGATGGTGGCGAAGATGACGATTGTAACTGTGATGGATACGCGGCCAGTATGTGGACGGTTAGCATAAATAGCGCGATCAATGATGGCCAAATGCACATTACGATGAGAGTTGTTCCTCGACTCTAGCTTCGACGTTCAGTAACGGAGCAAAAGACCCAAACACGGGAGTGGTGGGTTGCAAATTATTGTCGAATCTTAGAAATATTTGAAATGAAAAGTGTATTTTTTACAGGCGACTACCGATTTGTATGGGAAATGTACAACGACTCACTCGGGAACGTCAGCAGCCGCTCCAGAAGCGGCAGGTGTGTTCGCTTTGGCGCTCGAAGCAAAGTGAGTTATTTTTTCATTAAGATAATAAAATATTCGACGTCAGTATGGCTATTTACTTGGATTAAAGTGTTTGTCGACACTTAGATACCTTATTTAATATACTTGAGTTTCTTCAAATCAAAAATTAATCACTGGTAAGGTCTGTTAGTTGATTTTGACCTCGATTTTCTCATCTTCTAACAAATAAATACACTGAGAGTGGTGTACATATTACTAGTTCAATTCTCCAGGTTGGATAGCTAACTATTAAATTTTACCATCTAGGTTTGTGCATAATTAATTCAAGATGATACGTTCTTGTATATTTCTATATATATATATATATTTCGGTTAAAGAAAAACTAAAATTTAAAATATTCTATAACATTTTTGCTTTTTATTTATTTATTTAGTAACAAGTTATCTTGGAGAGACATTCAACATTTAACAGTGTTGACTTCGAAAAGGAATTCACTGTTCGATGCCAAAGGGCGATTTCATTGGACCATGAACGGTGTAGGTTTGGAATTTAATCACTTGTTCGGATTCGGAGTGTTGGACGCTGGTGCTATGGTGGCGCTGGCTAAACGTTGGAAAACGGTACCGCCGAGGTTTCACTGCGAAGCTGGCAGCGTTAATAAAATTCAGTAAGCACTTTATTTAATATCGATAAAATGATAATTTTTATACAGGATGTGCTACGCTCAACTTTTGTACATTTTTTTTTATATTTTGGTCTTTGAATTGTTTTTTCTGTTTCGTTCAGTCATAAATTGAAATTTTTACATTTTGAATTCGAGTGTTTTTTGTAACTTTTCAAAATAAAAAATGATTTTTTCAACGAAACGGGGCCTTATATATATACAAGATGTCCAAACCATTTACAATTTTTAAATTTTAAGTTAAACTCTTAAAAATAATCTTAGTTTAATAAAGATTCCCTATAACCATCTTTGATCATTTCCGATTTATGTGACATTTCTTTAAAAGATAGTGGGGTCGACATTTATTAATTACCATTTATTACAAAATAATTAACAATTTCTTATTACAAAATGTAATTTTTTTTTATATCAATTCAATAAAAATTAATCTATATATAATAGATTTTAATAGAATTCAATAGATTTAAAATACATATTAATACATTTTTAATAGATTTTAATACATTTTTAATAGATTAATACATTTTAATAGATTTTAATACATTTTTAATATACATTTTTAATAGAATTTAATAGATTTAATAGAGTTTTAATAGTTCTTAACACATTTTTATAGATTTTTAATAGATTTTAAAAGATTTTAATAGATTTTAATAGATTTTAATAGATTTTAATAGATTTTAATAGATTTTAATAGATTTTAATAGATTTTAATAGATTTTAATAGATTTTAATAGATTTTAATAGATTTTAATAGATTTTAATAAATTTTAATAGATTTTAATAGATTTTAATAGATTTTAATAGATTTTAATAGATTTTAATAGATTTTAATAGATTTTAATAGATTTTAATAGATTTTAATAGATTTTAATATATTTTAATAGATTTTAATAGATTTTAATAGATTTTAATAGATTTTAATAGATTTTAATAGATTTTAATAGATTTTAATAAATTTTAATAGATTTTAATAGATTTTAATAGATTTTAATAGATTTTAATAGATTTTAATAGATTTTAATAGATTTTAATAGATTTTAATAGATTTTAATAGATTTTAATATATTTTAATAGATTTTAATAGATTTTAATAGATTTTAATAGATTTTTAATAGATTTTAATAGATTTTAATAGATTTTAATAGATTTTAATAGATTTTAATAGATTTTAATAGATTTTAATAGATTTTAATAGATTTTAATAGATTTTAATAGATTTTAATAGATTTTAATAGATTTTAATAGATTTTAATAGATTTTTAATAGATTTTAAAAGATTTAAATACATTTTAATACATTTTTAGTATAATTTTAATACATTCTTAATAGATTTTAATAAATTTTTAATAGAATTTAATAGATTTAGTGGAGTTTTAATAGATTTTAACAAATTTTTATAAATTTTTAATAGATTTTTATAGATTTTTAATAATTATTAATAGATTTTAATAGATTTCAATACATTTTTAATAGATTTGAATACATTTTTAATAGATTTTAATATATTTTAATACATTTTTAATAGATTTTAGTAAATTTTAATACATTTTTAATAGATTTTAGTAAATTTTAATACATTTTTAATAGATTTTAGTAAATTTAATACATTTTAATATATTTTAGTAAATTTTAATACATTTTTAATAGATTTTAATACATTTTTAATAGATTTTAATAGAATTTAATAAATTTAATAGTTTTAATAGTTTTTAACAATTTTTATAAATTTTTAATAAATTTTAATAGATTTTAATGGATTTAAATACATTTTTAGTATATTTTAATACATTCTTAATAGATTTTAATAGATTTATTGGAGTTTTATTAGATTTTAACAAATTTTTATAGATTTTTAATAGATTTTTATAGATTTTTAATAGATTTTTAATGTATTTTAATAGATTTTAATAGATTAAAATATATTTTAATACATTTTAATATATTTTAATACATTTTAATAAATACATTTTTAATAGAATAGTTTTTAACAAATTTTTATAAATTTTTAATAAATTTTAATAGATTTTAATGGATTTAAATACATTTTTAGTATATTTTAATACATTCTTAATAGATTTTAATAAATTTTTAATAGAATTTAATAGATTTAATGGAGTTTTAATAGATTTTAACAAATTTTTATAGATTTTTAATAGATTTTTAATAGATTTTTAATAGATTTTTAATAGATTTTTAATAAATTTTAATGGATTTAAATACATTTTTAGTATATTTTAATACATTCTTAATAGATTTTAATAAATTTTTAATAGAATTTAATAGATTTTAACAAATTTTTATAAATTTTTAATAGATTTTTATAGATTTTTAATAATTATTAATAGATTTCAATACATTTTTAATAGATTTGAATACATTTTTAATAGATTTTAATACATTTTTAATATATTTTAATACATTTTTAATAGATTTTAGTAAATTTTAATACATTTTTAATAGATTTTAGTAAATTTTAATACATTTTAATATATTTTTAATATATTTTAGTAAATTTTAATACATTTTTAATAGATTTTAATAGAATTTAATAAATTTAATAGAGTTTTAATAGTTTTTAACAAATTTTTATAAATTTTTAATAAATTTTAATAGATTTTAATGGATTTAAATACATTTTTAGTATATTTTAATACATTCTTAATAGATTTTAATAAATTTTTAATAGAATTTAATAGATTTAATGGAGTTTTAATATATTTTAACCAATTTTTAATAGATTTTTATAGATTTTTAATAAATTTTAATGTATTTTAATAGATTTCAATAGATTTTAATATATTAAAATACATTTTAATATATTTTAATACATTTTAATATATTTTAAGTAGATTTTAATACATTTTTGATAAATTTTAATAGATTTCAATAGATTTTATTAGCTTTTTATAGATTTTTATTAATTTTAATATATTTTTAACAGATTTTAATAACATTTAAAAGATGATTTTTAAAATGTTACATTAAAATAAAAGAATATATGTTTAAATGTCAACTGTATATGCTCACGTGACGGTATGTTTTAAATGTAACAAAATAATTTTCTTTTAGAAAAATTCCTTCGAAAAACTCGATCATTATGAAAATAACTACAAACGCATGTAAGGGCCAGAACACTGAAGTACATTATTTGGAACACGTTCAGGCTGTGATTAGTTTAAACGCGACCAGAAGAGGCGACATTGAGTTGTTTCTTACTTCACCTATGGGAACAAGGTAAAGTATCGTTTTGCGAAAAGTAATGTGAATTATTTACAGCATTCCTCTAGGAAAAATGTTACATAATGGCGGGCACAGCATCCGTTCTTATCACCGCGAACGCGTGTGGTCTAGATGACTGTTTTAGTAACAGTGTTTCGAAGAAGGGCGTTTGACGTTAACCATTGAGGAGTGCGGATTACAGGGAAGTCACTAGGAGTTGCAATACTGAATGTCATTCAACAAGTAGCAAACATTGAACATGCAGTAAATTTGTCGTTTATGGCGTGTTACGTTCTAAATAGATCGTGACCGGTAAAGGCAGAGATGCGAGTCATATCCGTGATAACTACACACGGTTTTGAATTAATTTTAAAACATTTTTTTTATGAGAAACTGAGAAATTTACATTTGATTTGTATTTTAGATCTATGATTTTAAGTCGAAGACAAAACGATGATGACTCTCGGGATGGTTTTTCAAAATGGCCGTTTATGACTACTCATACTTGGGGTGAATATCCACAAGGCACATGGATACTAGAGGTAAGAAGTTTTTTATGTACCTACATTTTTAGAAAAAAAAATTTTTTTTTAATTTTTATTACTTTTCATTAATTTTTATTATTTATTAATTTTTAATAATTTTTATTATTTTTTGATAATTTTTATTATTATTTATTAATTTTTTTAATATTTTTCATTAATTTTTAATATTTTTATTATTTTTTATTAATTTTTATCAATTTTTATTAATTTTTATCAATTTTTATTACTTTTCATTAATTTTTATTATTATTTATTAAATTTTAATAATTTTATTATTTTTTAATAATTTTTATTATTTTTTATCAATTTTTATTACTTTTCATTAATTTTTATTATTATTTATTAAATTTTAATAATTTTATTATTTTTTAATAATTTTTATTATTTTTTGATAATTTTTATTATTATTTATTAATTTTTTTAATATTTTTTATTAATTTTTAATATTTTTATTATTTTTTAGTAATTTTTATTATTTTTTATTAATTTTTATCAATTTTTACTAATTTTTAATTATTTTTAATAATTTTTATTGTTTTCTATTAATTTTAAACAATTTTTACTAATTTTTATTAATTTTTATCAATTTTTATCAATTTTTATCAATTGTTATTAATTTTTATCAATTTTTATTAATTTTTATCAATTTTTACTAATTTTTAATGATTTTTAATTATTTTTATTAATTTTTAATTATTTTTATTAATTTTTACTAATTTTTATTAATTTTTAATTATTTTTATTAGTTTTTTATTATTTTTATTAGTTATTTTTATTTTTTGATGTTTTTTAATATTTATTAATTTTTATTTATTTATATATTTATTTAATTATTTTTACGATACTCCCCTCCTTAATATATAAAAATACAAAAACCTTGAAATAAGTTCCTACTTTTAAAAAATCCATACCCCCATACAAACTTTCACCCTTCTTCTCCCCCTCTTCCTTCTTATTGTCCTTCTATATTTCTAGATTTTTGTCTTTTTCTTATTTATTTTTCTATATACTTGTCTATAATTAAAAAAAGTATATATTTTACTAGCATCATGAGGAAGTTCCATAAGACCCCTCCATTTAAATACTGTATTGGTTTATTTTTCAGGCCAAATTCAACTCTCAAATACCCCAAACCGGCTACATAAAAGAATGGTCTTTGATGCTTCACGGAACAAAAGAACCACCGTACACGGAATTGCCGGTTTTAGATCCTCATTCGAAATTGGCGATAGTGAAAAAAGCGCACGAGAGTCGCATCAAAATGTAACGTTTTTATTTTCGAAAGATTTTAACTTTTATTTTCAATTTCCAACCGTGAAAACAATGCAAATACGATTTCGTTCCTATTGTCACATTCCAATTAACTTGCAATACGATAAAAATGAGGAGCGGCACTGACAAATCTAAGAATGGGAGGGGCTAAATTTTGATGCTAGTATGCAATTTAAATCACGTGACCCAAAACGGTAACAAAGGTACGTCTAGTAACTATTTATGTAACCACTTACCTTTTTCGATTTTTGTTTTTGTCGTTTCTTGGTTTTTTCCAATTTTTAGTATTTTCGATTTGTAGTTTCTTAGATTTTTCGGTTTTTCGATTTTTGGTTTTCTTTTTTATTATTTAGATTTTTGGTTTTTTTTATTTTTGGTGTTTTCGGTTTTTCGATTTTTTCAATTTGGTTTTCTTCAATTTTTGGTATTTTCGATTTTTGGTTTTGAAGTTTTTTTTTTTGATTTTTGGTTGTCGATTTTTCGATTTTTAGTTTTTTTAGATTTTTGGTTTTTATCGATGTTTGTTTTTGTCAATTTTTTGATATTTTGTTATTTAAATTTTTGGTTTTTTTCAAATTTTGGTTTTCTTCAATTTTTGGTATTTTCGATTTTTGGTTTTGAAGTTTTTTTTTTTGATTTTTGGTTGTCGATTTTTCGATTTTTAGCTTTTTTAGATTTTTGGTTTTTATCGATGTTTGTTTTTGTCAATTTTTTGATATTTTGTTATTTAAATTTTTGGTTTTTTCAAATTTTGGTTTTCTTCAATTTTTGGTATTTTCGATTTTTGGTTTTGAAGTTTTTTTTTGATTTTTGGTTGTCGATTTTTCGATTTTTAGTTTTTTTAGATTTTTGGTTTTTATCGATGTTTGTTTTTGTCAATTTTTTGATATTTTGTTATTTAAATTTTGGTTTTTTTCAATTTTTGGTATTTTCGATTTTGGTTTTGAAGTTTTTTTTTTTATTTTTGGTTGTCGATTTTTCGATTTTTAGTTTTTTTAGATTTTTGGTTTTTATCGATGTTTGTTTTTGTCAATTTTTTGATATTTTGTTATTTAAATTTTTGGTTTTTTTCAAATTTTGGTTTTCTTCAATTTTTGATATTTTCGATTTTTGGTTTTGAAGTTTTTTTTTTGATTTTTGGTTGTCGATTTTTCGATTTTTAGTTTTTTTAGATTTTTGGTTTTTATCGATGTTTGTTTTTGTCAATTTTTTGATATTTTGTTATTTAAATTTTTGATTTTTTTCAAATTTTGGTTTTTTAGATTTTCTCAATTTTTGTTTTTTTTTTTTTATTTTTCAATTTTTTATATTTAATTTCGCAATTGCTGACATAATCAAAATTAAAAAAAGTTCTTTTTGGAATATGAAAGTCTTTATTGTTTTTTTAATCATCGGTAATTTTTGTCTATTTTACCTAATTGTTTCGCTGATTTACTTGTGTTCATTTGTGCAGTGTTGCCATCTCAATTTTGTCGTATTGGACTTAATTGATGTTTTTAATTTATATAAAGTAATGTTTTTGATGATTTGATGAAAGTGTGTCACTGTCTTTTTGTAAACACAACTTCTTTAAATAATAATAATTATAAGAAATTTAAAATACCAAAAAGTTTACGAAATTATATATCTTTATATTCCAATATGTCTAGAAGTAGTAATGTTAATCATATATTTATTAAAAAACATTTATTTGTTTATAGATATAATTAATTTTAAGAAAATAGCTCATAAAAAAAATGAAATTTAAAAAAGTGATATTTATTTAAAAAGTTGTATGTGTTGAGACATTTTATCTGAGGTTGCAATTAATCGATATTTTTTTTGATTATTCGATTTTTTTTTCGATTCGATTTTTTTTCCGATTAATCGATTTTTTTTAGTATACGATTTTTTTCGATTAATTGATGTTTTCGATTGTTTTTTTCGATTATTCAATTTTTTAATAATCTATTTTTTCGATTAATCGATTTTTTTCGATTATTCAATTTTTTTATTGATCGATTTTTTTTCGATTAATCGATTTTTTAGATTATTCCACTTTTTTTTCGATTAATCGATTTTTTGAAAAATCGATTTTTTTCGATTATTCCATTTTTTTTTTTTTTTTTTCGATTATTCAATTTTTTTTTTCGATTATTCCATTTTTTTTTCGATTATTTCATTTTTTCCTCCGATTAATCGATTTTTTTAGTATACGATTTTTTTTCGATTAATTGATGATTTCGATTGTTTTTTTTTTTTTTCGATTCAATTTTTTTAATAATCGATTTTTTCGATTAATCGATTTTTTTCCATTATTCAATTTTTTTCGATTATACAATTTGATCGATTTTTTTTCGAAAAATCGATTTTTTTGATTATTCGATTTTTTTTTTTTTCGATTCGATTTTTTCAGATTAATCGATTTTTTTTAGTATACGATTTTTTTCGATTAATTGATGTTTTCGATTGTTTTTTTCGATTATTCAATTTTTTAATAATCGATTTTTTCGATTAATCGATTTTTTCGATTAATCGATTTTTTCGATTATTCAATTTTTTTATTGATCGATTTTTTTCGATTAATCGATTTTTTTCGATTAATCGATTTTTTCGATTATTCCACTTTTTTTTCGATTAATCGATTTTTTCGATTATTCCACTTTTTTTTCGATTAATCGATTTTTTCGATTATTCCACTTTTTTTTCGATTAATCGATTTTTTGAAAAATCGATTTTTTTCGATTATTCCATTTTTTTTTTCGATTATTCCATTTTTTCTCCGATTAATCGATTTTTTTTAGTATACGATTTTTTTTCGATTAATTGATGTTTTCGATTTTTTTTTTTTCGATTCAATTTTTTTAATAATCGATTTTTTCGATTAATCGATTTTTTCCATTATTCAATTTTTTTCGATCATTCAATTTTTTTATTGATCGATTTTTTTATTATTCGATTTTTTTTTCGATTATTCCATATATTTTTTTTCGATCAATCGATTTTTTTAGTATACGATTTTTTTTCCGATTAATTCGATGTTTTAGATTGATTTTTTTTCGATTATTCAATTTTTTATTAATCGATTTTTTTTCTAAAAATCGATCTTTTTCGATTATTCGATTTTTTTTTTGATTAAACCATTTTTTATTAATCTTTTTTTTTTTTTTTTTTTCAATAATCGATTATCTTATCGAATATATTTCGAAAACAATCGATTATTTATTTTGATAATCGCCTAACCCTATTGTATAGCACATAAGTATTAAATCTTTTTTATTTATTTTGTATTGAATATTTTTCAAAATGGCGTTCTTTATCGACTTGTACATAGCTACAGGTTACAACTTGTTCTGTTAATATTCGAACGAGTAACTTTTGGATAATAAATTTTACCTCGAAGAAATTTTAAAATTAAAAAATGTTTTTATTTTGGCTGGTAAGTTGGAAAATGTAAATAAATATATTTAAAGTTATTATATTTTTTTTTTCGTAAAATTATTTCAGAAATATTTCAAAAACGTTGCATTGAAATATTTCTGAAATGTGCTTCAAACGTATAAATATTGTGTAAATGTAATATTTCACGGTAATATTTGTGAAATAAAAATTTGAAATATTTCAGAAAAATATTACATTGTAATATTTCGGAAATGTATTTTAGAAACGTTGTAGAAACGTTTCTAAAATGTTATTAGACAGGAGTGAAAGAGAATGACATCACAAACCATTTTTATTTGAATAGTTTTTTAAAAATTCGAATTTTGCACTTTTTGGCAAATTTATGGAATACGGGCCATTTTAGGAAAATTTTGTATAAGACAAAAATTATAGAGAATAATATTGCAAGTAACTTTTATTTAAAATTTTTTTTCTACAAACGTAAATAACGGATTTGTTCTATAAAGTAGAAAAATTAGCAGTTTTTGAGTTTTTAAAATTCAAAATTTGCAGTTTTCCTCAAATATCTCGAATACGGTCCATTTTAGGAAAATTATGCATAGGACCAAAACTATAGAGAATAATATTACAAGTAACTTTTATTTAAAGAATTTTCTTCTGCAAGCGTAAATAACAGATTTATTCTATAAAATAGAAAAATTATCCCCAGATGTTCCGACTATGCCCAAAATGTAATCATTTCACCGAAGTATGGATTAAAGCGTAAATTTAAAATTTTTTAATTTTCTCTTTAGTAGTTTCTGAGTTATCTTTAAAATTCAAAATTTGCAGTTTTCCTCAAATATCTCGAATACGGTCCATTTTAGGAAAATTATGCATATAACCAAAATTATAGAGAATAATATTACAAGTAACTTTTATTTAAAGAATTTTCTTCTACAAGCGTAAATAACAGATTTATTCTATAAAATAGAAAAATTATCCCCAGATGTTCCGACTATGCCCAAAATGTATTCAGTTCACCGAATTATGGATTAAAGCGTAAATTTAAAATTTTTTAATTTTCTCTTTAGTAGTTTCTGAGTTATCTTTGAAATTCAAAATTTACAGTTTTCCTCAAATATCTCGAATACGGTCCATTTTAGAAAAATTATGCATATAACCAAAATTATAGAGAATAATATTACAAGTAACTTTTATTTAAAGAATTTTCTTCTGCAAGCGTAAATAACAGATTTATTCTATAAAATAGAAAAATTATCCCCAGATGTTCCGACTATGCCTAAAATGTAATCATTTCACCGAAGTATGGATTAAAGCGTAAATTTAAATTTTTTTAATTTTCTCTTTAGTAGTTTCTGAGCTATCTTTGAAATTCAAAATTTACAGTTTTCCTCAAATATCTCGAATACGGTCCATTTTAGAAAAATTATGCATATAACCAAAATTATAGAGAATAATATTACAAGTAACTTTTATTTAAAGAATTTTCTTCTACAAGCGTAAATAACAGATTTATTCTATAAAATAGAAAAATTATCCCCAGATGTTCCGACTATGCCTAAAATGTAATCATTTCACCGAAGTATGGATTAAAGCGTAAATTTAAATTTTTTTAATTTTCTCTTTAGTAGTTTCTGAGCTATCTTTGAAATTCAAAATTTACAGTTTTCCTCAAATATCTCGAATACGGTCCATTTTAGAAAAATTATGCATATAACCAAAATTATAGAGAATAATATTACAAGTAACTTTTATTTAAAGAATTTTCTTCTGCAAGCGTAAATAACAGATTTATTCTATAAAATAGAAAAATTATCCCCAGATGTTCCGACTATGCCTAAAATGTAATCATTTCACCGAAGTATGGATTAAAGCGTAAATTTAAATTTTTTTAATTTTCTCTTTAGTAGTTTCTGAGCTATCTTTGAAATTCAAAATTTACAGTTTTCCTCAAATATCTCGAATACGGTCCATTTTAGAAAAATTATGCATATAACCAAAATTATAGAGAATAATATTACAAGTAACTTTTATTTAAAGAATTTTCTTCTACAAGCTTAAATAACAGATTTATTCTATAAAATAGAAAAATTATCCCCAGATGTTGCGACTATGCCCAAAATGTAATCATTTCACCGAAGTATGGATTAAAGCGTAAATTTAAAATTTTTTAATTTTCTCTTTAGTAGTTTCTGAGTTATCTTTGAAATTCAAAATTTACAGTTTTCCTCAAATATCTCGAATACGGTCCATTTTAGGAAAATTATGCATATAACCAAAATTATAGAGAATAATATTACAAGTAACTTTTATTTAAAGAATTTTCTTCTACAAGTGTAAATAACAGATTTATTCTATAAAATAGAAAAATTATCCCCAGATGTTCCGACTATGCCCAAAATGTAATCATTTCACAGAAGTATGGATTAAAGCGTAAATTTAAAATTTTTTAATTTTCTCTTTAGTAGTTTCTGAGTTATCTTTGAAATTCAAAATTTACAGTTTTCCTCAAATATCTCGAATACGGTCCATTTTAGGAAAATTATGCATATAACCAAAATTATAGAGAATAATATTACAAGTAACTTTTATTTAAAGAATTTTCTTCTACAAGCGTAAATAACAGATTTATTCTATAAAATAGAAAAATTATCCCCAGATGTTCCGACTATGCCCAAAATGTAATCATTTCACTGAAGTATGGATTAAAGCGTAAATTAAAAATTTTTTAATTTTCTCTTCAGTACTTTCAGAGTTATCTTTAAAATTCAAAATTTGCAGTTTTCCTCAAATATCTCGAATACGGTCCATTTTAGGAAAATTATGCATATAACCAAAATTATAAAAAATAATATTACAAGTAACTTTTATTTAAAGAATTTTCTTCTACAAGCGTAAATAACAGATTTATTCTATAAAATAGAAAAATTATCCCCAGATGTTGCGACTATGCCCAAAATGTAATCATTTCACCGAAGTATGGATTAAAGCGTAAATTTAAATTTTTTTAATTTTCTCTTTAGTAGTTTCTGAGCTATCTTTGAAATTCAAAATTTACAGTTTTCCTCAAATATCTCGAATACGGTCCATTTTGGAGAAATTATGTATTAGACAAAAATTATAAAGAATGACATCACAAATAACTTTTATTTGAAGAAATTTCTTCTACAAGTCAAAATAACGAATATATTCTTTAAAGTACCCTCCCCAGATGTTCCGACTATGTCTAAAATCAAATCAGCTCATCGCAGGATGAATTAATCAATATTATCCAATAAAAAAATCTTTATTTTCAAAAATAGTTTTACAAAATTTACAAATACCTCTCATTTGAAATTAAAACTACCTATAAGTGTTATTTAAATATTTTTTAAGTATTTCTAAGAAACTAAAGTTTGTTTTTTCCCAAATAAAGAACCGAATAACTCCGTTTTCGCTTCATCCGTCAACAAATTGTTATCAATGGGCGCCATAAAGTTAACCAACTTAGTATGTACGGCGTATCTTATTTTTCTACCTTTCGTCGCCCTCGTATCGATTTTTCTCTTCATTTTACTCCTCAAATTCTGCAGTTGAATCCACTGTCTACCTAACTGTACCGGATCGGTCAGATCGGCAGATTTGACTTCGATGAGTTCTCTTAAAAGTTGATGATAAAAATCGTTGTCGTCGAATATTTCTGAATTGTATTCTTGTTCGTTGCTTTCCAATGATTTTTCACCGATAATTGTATAATCGGTTTTCTTCAATTGAGTTCTTTTGATTAATTTTGATTTGTCTGTTAACGTGTGTTCTATGTGGTTGATAATTGAATGGGAGGTGTTATTCTTCATTGAGGGTAACCTAGTTTTATCATGCCACTTTTGGATCACACTGTTTCTATATTCTTTAAACGAATCATGTTTTTCTTGTATATCTTTTTCGTAATCAATTAATTTCATTTTCTTTTTAAGAGGACCTTCTTCAGTTTCCTCTTCAACTATTAATTCTTCATCTGTATCACTAGGAATTTCTTCATTGTCATCATCTATTTTTTCACCAAGTTTCTTCACTTCGGGGCACTGTTTCCATAGAAGGTTTTGTAGAAATAAAAACTTATCCAACACTGACGTAATGGAGTTTTTCGTCTGCTGAACACTGTTAGAAAATTCTTGTCCTGATTCATTTTTAATTTCCTTGTAGTTTTCGAGTTGGGGCATTTTATTTGCAGCTGTTAAACATTTTTGCATTTGAATTCTGATTTCTAGAAGACTTTCCCAAATGGTCATTTGGTTTTTTACACTTCTACCTTTTTTAACTTGTTGCGAAACATCATCATTTAAAGTTTTAAAATTGATTTGTTCCTTCTCTTCATCTGTATCTTCTAAATAGGAATCTGATTCTTTAGAATCATCTTCAGTACTAAAGCTTTCTTCTTCACTAGATTCTTCTTGATTTTCATTATCAGTAGCATTTTCTTGATCTGCAAATAAAATTCTGAAATAATTTTTCTGTAGACACTATTTATTTCCAAACTAATAAATTTATAAACTTCAAAATTTCAAAACACATTTATAAAGAGTGTAGAATCATTATTCCACAAACAAAATTCTTAAATTCCAATAATTATTAAAGATAGAGAGTATTAAAGTTAAATTCCTACTTGTTAAAGTTGATATTGGAATCTTTGTTTCATCCCTAATTCCAAAACTAATAGATTTATAAACTTCAAAATTTCAGAACACATTTATAAAGAGTGTAGAATCATTATTCCACAAACAAAATTCTTAAATTCCAATAATTATTAAAGATAGAAAGTATTAAAGTTACATTCCTACTTGTTAAAGTTGATATTGGAACTTTTGTTTCATCCCTAATTCCAAAACTAATAGATTTATAAACTTCAAAATTTCACAACACATTTATGAAGAGTGTAGAATCATTATTCCACAAACAAAATTCTTAAATTCCAATAATTATTAAAGATAGATAGTATTAAAGTTACATTCCTACTTGTTAAAGTTGATATTGGAACTTTTGTTTCATCCCTAATTCCAAAATTAATAGATTTATAAACTTCAAAATTTCACAACACATTTATAAAGAGTGTAGAATCATTATTCCACAAACAAAATTCTTAAATTCCAATAATTATTAACGATAGAGAGTATTAAAGTTACATTCCTACTTGTTAAAGTTGATATTGGAACCTTTGTTTCATCCCTACTTCCAAAACTAATAGATTAATAAACTTCAAAATTTCACAACATATTTATAAAGAGTGTAGAATCATTATTCCAGAAACAAAATTCTTAAATTCCAATAATTATTAAAGATAGAGAGTATTAAAGTTACATTCCTACTTATTAAAGTTGATATTGGAACTTTTGTTTCATCCCTACTTCCAAAACTAATAGATTTATAAACTTCAAAATTTCACAACACATTTATAAAGAGTGTAGAATCATTATTCTACAAACAAAATTCTTAAATTCCAACTATTATTAAAGATAGAGAGTATTAAAGTTAAATTCCTACTTGTTAAAGTTGAAATTCGAACCTTTGTTTCATCCCTAATTCCAAAACTAATAGATTTATAAACTTCAAAATTTCACAACACATTTATAAAGAGTGTAGAATCATTATTCCACAAACAAAATTCTTAAATTCCAATAATTATTAACGATAGAGAGTATTAAAGTTACATTCCTACTTGTTAAAGTTGATATTGGAACCTTTGTTTCATCCCTACTTCCAAAACTAATAGATTAATAAACTTCAAAATTTCACAACATATTTATAAAGAGTGTAGAATCATTATTCCAGAAACAAAATTCTTAAATTCCAATAATTATTAAAGATAGAGAGTATTAAAGTTACATTCCTACTTATTAAAGTTGATATTGGAACTTTTGTTTCATCCCTACTTCCAAAACTAATAGATTTATAAACTTCAAAATTTCACAACACATTTATAAAGAGTGTAGAATCATTATTCTACAAACAAAATTCTTAAATTCCAACTATTATTAAAGATAGAGAGTATTAAAGTTAAATTCCTACTTGTTAAAGTTGAAATTGGAACCTTTGTTTCATCCCTAATTCCAAAACTAATAGATTTATAAACTTCAAAATTTCACAACACATTTATAAAGAGTGTAGAATCATTATTCCACAAACAAAATTCTTAAATTCCAATAATTATTAAAGATAGATAGTATTAAAGTTACATTCCTACTTGTTAAAGTTGATATTGGAACCATTGTTTCATCCCTAATTCCAAAACTAATAGATTTATAAACTTCAAAATTTCAGAACACATTTATAAAGAGTGTAGAATCATTATTCCACAAACAAAATTCTTAAATTCCAACTATTATTAAAGATAGAGAGTATTAAAGTTAAATTCCTACTTGTTAAAGTTGAAATTGGAACCTTTGTTTCATCCCTAATTCCAAAACTAATAGATTTATAAACTTCAAAATTTCAGAACACATTTATAAAGAGTGTAGAATCATTATTCCACAAACAAAATTCTTAAATTCCAATAATTATTAAAGATAGAAAGTATTAAAGTTACATTCCTACTTGTTAAAGTTGATATTGGAACTTTTGTTTCATCCCTAATTCCAAAACTAATAGATTAATAAACTTCAAAATTTCACAACATATTTATAAAGAGTGTAGAATCATTATTCCAGAAACAAAATTCTTAAATTCCAATAATTATTAAAGATAGAGAGTATTAAAGTTACATTCCTACTTATTAAAGTTGATATTGGAACTTTTGTTTCATCCCTACTTCCAAAACTAATAGATTTATAAACTTCAAAATTTCACAACAAATTTATAAAGAGTGTAGAATCATTATTCCACAAACAAAATTCTTAAATTCCAACTATTATTAAAGATAGAGAGTATTAAAGTTAAATTCCTACTTGTTAAAGTTGAAATTGGAACCTTTGTTTCATCCCTAATTCCAAAACTAATAGATTTATAAACTTCAAAATTTCACAACACATTTATAAAGAGTGTAGAATCATTATTCCACAAACAAAATTCTTAAATTCCAATAATTATTAAAGATAGATAGTATTAAAGTTACATTCCTACTTGTTAAAGTTGATATTGGAACCATTGTTTCATCCCTAATTCCAAAACTAATAGATTTATAAACTTCAAAATTTCAGAACACATTTATAAAGAGTGTAGAATCATTATTCCACAAACAAAATTCTTAAATTCCAACTATTATTAAAGATAGAGAGTATTAAAGTTAAATTCCTACTTGTTAAAGTTGAAATTGGAACCTTTGTTTCATCCCTAATTCCAAAACTAATAGATTTATAAACTTCAAAATTTCAGAACACATTTATAAAGAGTGTAGAATCATTATTCCACAAACAAAATTCTTAAATTCCAATAATTATTAAAGATAGAAAGTATTAAAGTTACATTCCTACTTGTTAAAGTTGATATTGGAACTTTTGTTTCATCCCTAATTCCAAAACTAATAGATTAATAAACTTCAAAATTTCACAACATATTTATAAAGAGTGTAGAATCATTATTCCAGAAACAAAATTCTTAAATTCCAATAATTATTAAAGATAGAGAGTATTAAAGTTACATTCCTACTTATTAAAGTTGATATTGGAACTTTTGTTTCATCCCTACTTCCAAAACTAATAGATTTATAAACTTCAAAATTTCACAACATATTTATAAAGAGTGTAGAATCATTATTCCAGAAACAAAATTCTTAAATTCCAATAATTATTAAAGATAGAGAGTATTAAAGTTACATTCCTACTTATTAAAGTTGATATTGGAACTTTTGTTTCATCCCTACTTCCAAAACTAATAGATTTATAAACTTCAAAATTTCACAACACATTTATAAAGAGTGTAGAATCATTATTCCACAAACAAAATTCTTAAATTCCAACTATTATTAAAGATAGAGAGTATTAAAGTTAAATTCCTACTTGTTAAAGTTGAAATTGGAACCTTTGTTTCATCCCTAATTCCAAAACTAATAGATTTATAAACTTCAAAATTTCACAACACATTTATAAAGAGTGTAGAATCATTATTCCACAAACAAAATTCTTAAATTCCAATAATTATTAAAGATAGAAAGTATTAAAGTTACATTCCTACTTGTTAAAGTTGAAATTGGAACTTTTGTTTCATCCCTAATTCCAAAACTAATAGATTTATAAACTTCAAAATTTCACAACACATTTATAAAGAGTGTAGAATCATTATTCCACAAACAAAATTCTTAAATTCCAACTATTATTAAAGATAGAGAGTATTAAAGTTAAATTCCTACTTGTTAAAGTTGAAATTGGAACCATTGTTTCATCCCTAATTCCAAAACTAATAGATTTATAAACTTCAAAATTTCACAACACATTTGTAAAGAGTGTAGAATCATTATTCCACAAACAAAATTCTTAAATTCCAACTATTATTAAAGATAGAGAGTATTAAAGTTAAATTCCTACTTGTTAAAGTTGAAATTGGAACCTTTGTTTCATCCCTAATTCCAAAACTAATAGATTTATAAACTTCAAAATTTCACAACACATTTATAAAGAGTGTAGAATCATTATTCCACAAACAAAATTCTTAAATTCCAACTATTATTAAAAATAGAGAGTATTAAAGTTAAATTCCTACTTGTTAAAGTTGAAATTGGAACCTTTGTTTCATCCCTAATTCCAAAATTAATAGATTTATAAACTTCAAAATTTCACAACACATTTATGAAGAGTGTAGAATCATTATTCTACAAACAAAAATTTTAAATTCGAACTAGTATTAAAGATAGAGAGTATTAAAGTTGAATTCCTATAAATGGAAGTAAAAAACACCTTTTGAAATAATACAATGTACTAAATCTATAATATAGTAAAATAAGATATATATACAAACCATTTTCAATAGAACTTTCATCACTAGTAGTTTCTTCCTGTGAATTTAAGTTTTTTCTACTGCCTTTCTTGCCAACGTACCGTTCATCGATATCAGCCAAGAGATCAATATTTTGTTTTCTAATTTGACTCTGAAAAGGTACATGTTCGTCATTTTCTTCTACATTTTCGTAATTCACTATTGCCTTTGTATTATCTGGGTTATTATCATCTTCTGGATCGAAATTTGAAGGTGTTGTATTTAAAATCGAAGCGATTTTATCTGCCAAATTTTCTTTTTTCATGACTTAAGTTTCATGAATTAAAATTTGCTACGAGATAACTTTATTAGTAGATGAATATCGAAATATTTAAAAGATTTAAATGCTTTTTTATCACTATCAGTGTTTGTGTTGTTTTATAGGTTATATTCTTATGACATTTGATTATCGACATTTTGACAGTTGACAAATTAATTTTCGACTCAGATCAATGATATATAGTTTATATAGACTGCTTATGGAGTGCTTATTCATATAGACTGCTTATTCATATATAAAGACGACAAAAAGCGGGTGAAATTGCTTTCGTCCATATTGTTCTGCTAAGTGCGCACCAGACAGAATAGGCCTGGTCCAAATGAATTTAAAACCGATAATTCATTAAAATGAGAATTAACTTAAAAATAATTACCTAAATGATTACTTTAAGATAGAAGCTTGCATTAATTGTATCACCATTTCCAAATTAATTTATCTATAAACTTCAAAATTTGAATAAATATTAACAAAATCTAAAAAAATATAATTTTAAAAACAACGTTTTGAAATTTCAACAAACTTTCAAGTTGCAGGGTACCAAAGTTGATCTTTGATTTTTTAACAATTTGATATTGCCTTTATTACATCACCATTTCCAAACCAATTGATTTATAGACTTCAAAATTTGACAAAATATTTACGAAATGTGTAGAAATATAATTTTAAAAACTACATCAAGTTACAAGGTGTCAAAGTTGATATTGCTGTTATTTTATCACCATTTCAATATCAATTGATTTATAGACTTCAAATTTTGACACAATATTTAGGAAATGTGTAGAAATATAATTTTAAAAACTATATTTTAAAATGTCAACAGGTTTTAAAGTTGCAAAGTATCAAACTTGAACGTGGATATTTTAACAATTTGATATGCTTTTATTCCATCACCATTTCAATACCAGTTGATCTATAGACTTCAAAATTTGACAAAATATTTAGGAAATGTGTAGAAATATAATTCTGAAAACTATATTTTAAAATTTCAATTGGTTTTAAAGTTAGAAGGTGTCAAAGTTAAGCTTGCATATTTTTAACAATTTACATTGTTGCCTTTATTTTATCACCATTTACAAACTAATTGATCTATAGACTTCAAAATTTGAAGAAATATTTACAAAATATATAGAAATATAATTTTGAAAACCACATTTTGAAATTTCAACAAGTTTTCAAGTTACAAGGTACCAAAGTTGAACTTGGTTTTTTTAACAATTTGATATTGCTTTTATTTCATCACCATTTCCAAACTAATTGATCCATAGACTTTTCATAGGAATAAAAGTCGAGAATTAAGTCCTAAAAAGATGTAATTGCTTTGATTATTTATAGCCTTGGCAAACTATATATGCTTGTTGACTTTGACAGCATCAATTGTTTAAACAATCATTGGTAGTCTCATTTTTCAAAACGTCACGTGTTAAGACGATTATCTTCATTCTACAGAATGCGATTCGTATGTAACGTCTCTCTCTCTATTATCAATTCGTTACCTGTTGAGTACGTACATAAAAATCTCTGTCCAGGTATTTTGGCGAGCGGCCATATTGCTCATTTTTAACGTTTATAATAGATTATGCTATTTAGACGTTTATATACGTCTAAATAATAATCTATCATAAACGTTCATGCCGCGAAAAATACCTTAAAGTGTTTTAAAATCAATTGCCTACATTTTCACTTCAAAGCATAAACCAAATATATTTATTTTGTAAAACGATGGTCAATCTATATAACTATCTACATCATTGAGCCTGGGAGATGTGTTCGTGTTCTGCACTCGTGGTGTTCTGTGCAGAGATAAATTGTAGTTCTGTTGGCAATACGGCATACTGTCACCTGTCATCACACGGCGCGAAATAGTGAATTGTTATTGTTATTCATTGATAATTTTTTTAATTTTTATTGCTCTCAAGATAATGGAGGGCTTTCTAAAATCAGGGAAATTAGGCGAAAATCCGGAAAAAACTATGATTATCATGAAATCAAAAACCAAAAAGCCAAAACCGGTACATTGGGTAGAAAAATACAGACCCAAAACGATCTCTGATGTAGTAGAACAAACCGAAGCAGTCAACGTACTTGAGCAGTGCCTAACTGGAGCTGATCTACCTAATCTTCTATTTTACGGGCCCCCAGGTTCCGGTAAAACAAGTACAATTCTAGCAGCTGCTAGACAACTCTTCGGCGATATGTACAAAGATAGAATCCTCGAATTGAACGCGTCTGATGAAAGGGGAATACAAGTTATAAGAGATAAAGTTAAAAATTTTTCTCAATTAACAGCTAGCGGTGTCAGACCAGACGGTAAGCCATGTCCTCCGTTTAAAATTATAATTCTTGATGAAGCCGATTCAATGACTCATGCAGCGCAAGCTGCGTTACGTAGAACTATCGAAAAAGAAACTAAAACTACTAGATTTTGTTTAATTTGTAATTATATATCGAGAATTATCGAACCGTTAACTTCTAGATGTACAAAATTCAGATTTAAACCATTAAATGAGTATTTAATAATTGAAAGACTGTCATTCATTTGCGATAAAGAAGGAGTTAAATGCGATGATGCAACTTTAAACGCTCTTGTAGAAACCAGCAATGGAGATATGCGTAGAGCCATTACATGCTTACAGAGTTGCGCGAAATTAAATGGACCAAACAGAAAAATTACTATAGAAAGTGTATTAGACGTCACAGGCGTTGTTCCGAATATTTGGCTCTTCAACTTCTTAAAAGTTTGTAAGAAATTGAATCTGTCAAAATTGCAATGTTTTATAGAAAAAATTATGTTTGAAGCCTATTCGGGATCGCAAATATTGGATCAGCTGAATGAAGTGATTGTTAACAGTGATGATTTTAATGATAAGCAGAAAGCTGTGATTGGGGCCAAGCTTGGAGAGGTCAGTTTCCGTTTGCTGGAAGGAGGGTCTGAATTTATTCATTTACTGGATTTGGGGACTACTGTTATGAAAGCTTATGCGATAGCATAAAATGTATTTGTTCAATTGTATATCGTTTTTTTTTAGTTAAATATATTTTAATAACAATATTTTGATTGATTGATTAATTTTAAAATACATGAACCCTTTAAAAATAGTCTGATTTTTCACAAAAAAGAATTAATTAGTTTGGAAACAGTGATAAAATGAATGGTAAAAAATCCAAATTCAACTTTAACACCTTGTAATTTCAAAACTAATTGAAATTTCAAAATGTGGTCTTCAAAAATAGATTTATATAGTTTTTGTTAATATTTCTTTAAATTTTAAAGATTATATATTAATTAGTTTAAAAACAGTGATAAAATAAAGACAACTATGTTCATAGATAATCAATCTATATAACAATCTATATCATTGACCCTCCTGTCAAATCGCCAAGCCTACAGGGTTGCCAGATCGCAATAATTATTTTTAAATTAAACAATTTTACCATAATTCAAAGGCTGAAAATACATTTTCGCAAAAAGTAATTCTGATTAATGAGTTTTAAATATAACTCTACGTATATATAACTTTAATTTCATTCACCCGTTGAAAAATTTTCGAAAGAAAAATGTCTTTATAGTCAAAGCCCATACAAAGATAAGAAAAAGAAGAAGACAAAAAGGGGTTATGTTTTCTGTCATTTTCTGTTTATATTTATGTACCATAAATTATATCAATATTTATAATCATTTAGATACGAAATATTTAAAATATTGGAATCATGGCTTGTCCAGGTTTATATTGTGGGTTAGTACAACTACCTGATTCTAAATTGAGTGATTGCGGACCTTGTCCACGAGGATTCAAACGAAACGAAACTACATACATCTGCGAATTATGTACTGATAACCCCTCATTTTACGATTGGCTGTATCTCGGCTTTACAGTCTTAACAATAATAGTTTTACACTGGTTTTTCATAGATATGATCTCCATGAGACGAAGGTAGGATATAAAATTTTAAATATTAACATTTTGTACGTATATATATTTTTATTTTAGTTTTACAAAAGATATACTTATTTTACATTCAGTAGCTTTTATGGAAGTGATAATTGCAGCTTTCGTTTCGTTGATACTTTCACCTCCGATCGGTAATTTGACTCTCTATAGCTGTAGAGTTAAAAAGATTTCTGATTGGTATACTCTCTTTCACAATCCTACACCGAATTTCGAACAAAAGATATATTGCACTCAAGAGGCTGTATATCCTTTGTAAGTATTAGTTTAACACGTTGACTGCCATGCTTTTTTGGTTAATGAATACAGGCCTTATCTTTGGGTTTTTTAGATATACCACAGTGTTTCTATTCTATGGGTTGTGTCTGATTTTTATGCTCACATTAAGGCCGTGGTTGAGTAAAAAATATTTACCAAAACAGAGTAAAATGGCGATATACGCAGCATTATATTTCATTCCGATTCTGGTTGTAATGCATGTGTTAATTGGGGGAATTTTGTGTAAGTAAGGAATCTTTGAACGTAGAGACGTTAATTGATATTAATTTTTATTTTTTCAGATTATTCTTTTCCTCATCTTATCTTGATATTTTCAGTTATATCTTGCGCGGCGCATTTTTCGGTTAAAATTGATCAAAGTGTTAAATCGTTGATTTTAACGACTATTTTAGAGCCTCGAAATTTGGTGATTCTTATTGGACATTGGTGTTTACATGCATATGGTATTATAGCTTTGACCCAACTTGTAAATCCGACTGTAAATGCGCCTTTAATTCTTCTAATACCACTTCCAGCTTTGTTTTACATCCTGACTTCGAAATTTACTGATCCAAGTAAAGCAAAATTCTAATACTTTCAAAATGGGATGGTAAGAATCCCTATCTGTAAGATAATGGGTATATTTTGTTCTGAAATATACAAGAAACGATTTGGATTGTAAAAGAATGTGTAGTTGATTGTTAGAAATAAAGATCTAATCAAATCAAAATTGTTGTTAATATATTTATTGTTGAAACATATATGACTTTTTATTTTTGAATAGTAGTTAAAATTAGCATAGGTCGCATGGCCGCGTTTCTCAATCACCACTGATTTATCTCTAGAGCTAGAAAATGGGATCGAATTGTAAGAATTTAAACAGAAAAATAAGATATTTTGTTAAATAACTTTATTACCGTTTGATAAAAATCAAAAACATATCCTTGGACTTCAACGAACATTAATAAAAAAAGAATTGGTAAAATTGTTGAGTTATACGCTTACCAACACATTTTACGATTATTTTTATATTATAGATAAATGAAAATAGCAAATGAAAATTCCATATTTAATTTCAGTTAAAACATTATAAAAAGTAAGTTTTTTCAATATATTAATGCTAAAATGATCAAATTCGCACATCATGATCCTTCATTAGAAACTTATTATTTTTAAAAACATTGATGATCAATCTCTATAACAGCCTACATCATTGACCCTGTCAAATGACCAGGCCTACAGTGTTGCCATATTATAACCTTTTACAATTTCCCTCTAGATAGCGCATCTCTTAGCTTGAATCGCGGATTTCTGAACGTACCCCACACCCATAGTGTTGTCAAATTTAGGATCGTTTAATTGGCTCGAGCAAGACATTAAAACAGTCCCCTCAAGATCTAGCTGGGTAAATATTCTCATAGATAAACAAAAAAAAAGAAGAAGAACTGTTCTGTGACTATGAAAAATAGTCTGTGAACGAAATTAAAAACTTTATAGACACAGCCCAAAAAAAGAGAAAAAGAAGAAATTAAAACTAACCTAACTTATTACCGTTGCCGGGTTTTTTGCTATTTCTGCTTACTTTCATTTATTTAAAACTTTCTCCTCTTTCCGAAAAGTGGCACACAAACATATCCGCTCCACTTAATAACCAGTATTACCATAAACAAGTATCACATTAGTTTTAAGTGAGTATTTTGATTTTATCCTAGCATTCATGTAACTTAACTCATCATTTTCTAGGGCAATTAAACTCGATTTAAATGGAATCTTTACGCCCTGAAGACGTTTTAAAATTCTTAGATTTGGTTAATAGACTTAAACATAGTAGTAGAAGGGGATGGGAATTTTCCGAAATAAAAAACCACGAACAAATCGCGGGTCACATGTACGCGATGGGTATCATGACATTTTTACTTGGAAACGATTCCAAACTGGACAGATTTAAATGTTTACAACTAGCTTTAGTACACGACTTAGCTGAATGTATAGTAGGAGACATCACACCTCACGATAACATTACTGTAGACAAAAAACATGCTATGGAAGACGAAGCTATGAAAGAATTGACAAGTTTAGTTGGATCTGAAATCGGTTCTTTAATTTATAATCTTTATAAAGAATACGAGGCTAAAGAAACTCCTGAAGCGAAATTTGTTAAAGATTTGGATAGATTTGACATGCTTTTTACAGCTGCGCACTACGAGCAAAGAGATGGGACTCCAAAAAAGTTACAGGAATTTTTCGATTCTACAGAGGGGAAGTTTCAACATCCTTATATAAGGAAATTAGTTTTATCTTTAGAACAAAGAAGAAACAGTGAAACTGTTAATAGTGTTGAAGAATCTAATTCTTGATATGATATTGTAGGGAAATAAAAGTACCTGATTTTCTTCTCTTTTATCTCATTATGTTTGGTTTTTATATTATTTTATTTTGCTCTTTTTAAGTTTGGTTTTTGTCAGTATTGATAAATATACTATTTAAAAATTTTGTTTCATTTTTGTCCTTTCATTGTTGATTGCATTTTAATAAAAATAATTTTTATAAAATAAATTTATTTACAAACCTCTCCACCAGTAACTTGTCCTTTGCAGTAAATTTATTTATTTGGGACACAAACAGGACAAATCTAGAATAGTGTCTACTAAAAATATGATTAATTCATCATAATTTCCAAATAGATTTGTACTGATCCGGATGAGTTCTGACCCGGATCTGTTCTGACCCTGATGAGTTATGACCCGGATGAGTTCTAACCTTGATCAGTTCCCAGTTAATAGTAAACGAATTATTTCATAAATTCACAAAAAGGTAGAGCTTAATGGATAGTTTATAATGCTCAAAACCGCTGGTTTCTATCTTAAGCCGTTTAGCAGTTATTCACATTCAAAAATACGTCGAATTGCGTTACCCTAAATTTTACGATTATTTGATTATGGAACCACATTTTTCATATCAAAAAAATCGAAAGGGTATAGCCTTCATTATTTTTTGACAAAAATTTTTTTAGTCTCAGATGTTGATGAAAATCAGTGTACGTATAAAAGAAAGCACGACAAATTAAGGGGTGAACTCAGTTGCTTTCTATCTATAAGGATTTAAATTATTTTTCCATTTTCCCCAGTTAATAGTGAACGAATTATTCCATAAATTCACAAAAAGGTAGAGCAGAATGGATAGTTTATAATGCTCAAAACCACGGGTTTCTATCTTGAGCCGTTTAGCAGTTATTCACATTCAAAAATACGTCGAATTGCGTTACCCTAAATTTTACGATTATTTGATTATGGAACCACATTTTTCATATCAAAAAAATCGAAAGGGTTATAGCCTTCATTATTTTTTGACAAAAATTTTTTTAGTCTCAGATGTTGATGAAAATCAGTGTACGTATAAAAGAAAGCACGACAAATTAAGGGGTGAACTCAGTTGCTTTCTATCTATAAGGATTTAAATTATTTTTCCATTTTCCCCAGTTAATAGTGAACGAATTATTCCATAAATTCACAAAAAGGTAGAGCAGAATGGATAGTTTATAATGCTCAAAACCACGGGTTTCTATCTTGAGCCGTTTAGCAGTTATTCACATTCAAAAATACGTCGAATTGCGTTACCCTAAATTTTACGATTATTTGATTATGGAACCACATTTTTCATATCAAAAAAATCGAAAGAGTATATATAGCCTTCATTATTTTTTGACAAAAATTTTTTTAGTCTCAGATGTTGATGAAAATCAGTGTACGTATAAAAGAAAGCACGACAAATTAAGGGGTGAACTCAGTTGCTTTCTATCTATAAGGATTTAAATTATTTTTCCATTTTCCCCAGTTAATAGTGAACGAATTATTCCATAAATTCACAAAAAGGTAGAGCAGAATGGATAGTTTATAATGCTCAAAACCACGGGTTTCTATCTTGAGCCGTTTAGCAGTTATTCACATTCAAAAATACGTCGAATTGCGTTACCCTAAATTTTACGATTATTTGATTATGGAACCACATTTTTCATATCAAAAAAATCGAAAGGGTATAGCCTTCATTATTTTTTGACAAAAATTTTTTTAGTCTCAGATGTTGATGAAAATCAGTGTACGTATAAAAGAAAGCACGACAAATTAAGGGGTGAACTCAGTTGCTTTCTATCTATAAGGATTTAAATTATTTTTCCATTTTCCCCAGTTAATAGTGAACGAATTATTCCATAAATTCACAAAAAGGTAGAGCAGAATGGATAGTTTATAATGCTCAAAACCACGGGTTTCTATCTTGAGCCGTTTAGCAGTTATTCACATTCAAAAATACGTCGAATTGCGTTACCCTAAATTTTACGATTATTTGATTATGGAACCACATTTTTGATATCTAAAAAATCGAAGGGGTATAGCCTTCATTATTTTTTGACAAAAATTTTTTTAGTCTCAGATGTTGATGAAAATCAGTGTACGTATAAAAGAAAGCACGACAAATTAAGGGGTGAACTCAGTTGCTTTCTATCTATTAGGATTTAAATTATTTTTCCATTTTCCCCAGTTAATAGTGAACGAATTATTCCATAAATTCACAAAAAGGTAGAGCAGAATGGATAGTTTATAATGCTCAAAACCACGGGTTTCTATCTTGAGCCGTTTAGCAGTTATTCACATTCAAAAATACGTCGAATTGCGTTACCCTAAATTTTACGATTATTTGATTATGGAACCACATTTTTCATATCAAAAAAATCGAAAGGGTATAGCCTTCATTATTTTTTGACAAAAATTTTTTTAGTCTCAGATGTTGATGAAAATCAGTGTACGTATAAAAGAAAGCACGTCAAATTAAGGGGTGAACTCAGTTGCTTTCTATCTATAAGGATTTAAATTATTTTTCTATTTTCCCCAGTTAATAGTGAACGAATTATTCCATAAATTCACAAAAAGGTAGAGCAGAATGGATAGTTTATAATGCTCAAAACCACGGGTTTCTATCTTGAGCCGTTTAGCAGTTATTCACATTCAAAAATACGTCGAATTGCGTTACCCTAAATTTTACGATTATTTGATTATGGAACCACATTTTTCATATCAAAAAAATCGAAAGGGTTATAGCCTTCATTATTTTTTGACAAAAATTTTTTTAGTCTCAGATGTTGATGAAAATCAGTGTACGTATAAAAGAAAGCACGACAAATTAAGGGGTGAACTCAGTTGCTTTCTATCTATAAGGATTTAAATTATTTTTCCATTTTCCCCAGTTAATAGTGAACGAATTATTCCATAAATTCACAAAAAGGTAGAGCAGAATGGATAGTTTATAATGCTCAAAACCACGGGTTTCTATCTTGAGCCGTTTAGCAGTTATTCACATTCAAAAATACGTCGAATTGCGTTACCCTAAATTTTACGATTATTTGATTATGGAACCACATTTTTGATATCTAAAAAATCGAAGGGGTATAGCCTTCATTATTTTTTGACAAAAATTTTTTTAGTCTCAGATGTTGATGAAAATCAGTGTACGTATAAAAGAAAGCACGACAAATTAAGGGGTGAACTCAGTTGCTTTCTATCTATAAGGATTTAAATTATTTTTCCATTTTCCCCAGTTAATAGTGAACGAATTATTCCATAAATTCACAAAAAGGTAGAGCAGAATGGATAGTTTATAATGCTCAAAACCACGGGTTTCTATCTTGAGCCGTTTAGCAGTTATTCACATTCAAAAATACGTCGAATTGCGTTACCCTAAATTTTACGATTATTTGATTATGGAACCACATTTTTCATATCAAAAAAATCGAAAGGGTATAGCCTTCATTATTTTTTGACAAAAATTTTTTTAGTCTCAGATGTTGATGAAAATCAGTGTACGTATAAAAGAAAGCACGACAAATTAAGGGGTGAACTCAGTTGCTTTCTATCTATAAGGATTTAAATTATTTTTCCATTTTCCCCAGTTAATAGTGAACGAATTATTCCATAAATTCACAAAAAGGTAGAGCAGAATGGATAGTTTATAATGCTCAAAACCACGGGTTTCTATCTTGAGCCGTTTAGCAGTTATTCACATTCAAAAATACGTCGAATTGCGTTACCCTAAATTTTACGATTATTTGATTATGGAACCACATTTTTCATATCAAAAAAATCGAAAGGGTATAGCCTTCATTATTTTTTGACAAAAATTTTTTTAGTCTCAGATGTTGATGAAAATCAGTGTACGTATAAAAGAAAGCACGACAAATTAAGGGGTGAACTCAGTTGCTTTCTATCTATAAGGATTTAAATTATTTTTCCATTTTCCCCAGTTAATAGTGAACGAATTATTCCATAAATTCACAAAAAGGTAGAGCAGAATGGATAGTTTATAATGCTCAAAACCACGGGTTTCTATCTTGAGCCGTTTAGCAGTTATTCACATTCAAAAATACGTCGAATTGCGTTACCCTAAATTTTACGATTATTTGATTATGGAACCACATTTTTCATATCAAAAAAATCGAAAGGGTTATAGCCTTCATTATTTTTTGACAAAAATTTTTTTAGTCTCAGATGTTGATGAAAATCAGTGTACGTATAAAAGAAAGCACGACAAATTAAGGGGTGAACTCAGTTGCTTTCTATCTATAAGGATTTAAATTATTTTTCTATTTTCCCCAGTTAATAGTGAACGAATTATTCCATAAATTCACAAAAAGGTAGAGCAGAATGGATAGTTTATAATGCTCAAAACCACGGGTTTCTATCTTGAGCCGTTTAGCAGTTATTCACATTCAAAAATACGTCGAATTGCGTTACCCTAAATTTTACGATTATTTGATTATGGAACCACATTTTTCATATCAAAAAAATCGAAAGGGTATATATAGCCTTCATTATTTTTTGACAAAAATTTTTTTAGTCTCAGATGTTGATGAAAATCAGTGTACGTATAAAAGAAAGCACGACAAATTAAGGGGTGAACTCAGTTGCTTTCTATCTATAAGGATTTAAATTATTTTTCCATTTTCCCCAGTTAATAGTGAACGAATTATTCCATAAATTCACAAAAAGGTAGAGCAGAATGGATAGTTTATAATGCTCAAAACCACGGGTTTCTATCTTGAGCCGTTTAGCAGTTATTCACATTCAAAAATACGTCGAATTGCGTTACCCTAAATTTTACGATTATTTGATTATGGAACCACATTTTTCATATCAAAAAAATCGAAAGGGTTATAGCCTTCATTATTTTTTGACAAAAATTTTTTTAGTCTCAGATGTTGATGAAAATCAGTGTACGTATAAAAGAAAGCACGTCAAATTAAGGGGTGAACTCAGTTGCTTTCTATCTATAAGGATTTAAATTATTTTTCTATTTTCCCCAGTTAATAGTGAACGAATTATTCCATAAATTCACAAAAAGGTAGAGCAGAATGGATAGTTTATAATGCTCAAAACCACGGGTTTCTATCTTGAGCCGTTTAGCAGTTATTCACATTCAAAAATACGTCGAATTGCGTTACCCTAAATTTTACGATTATTTGATTATGGAACCACATTTTTCATATCAAAAAAATCGAAAGG